CGGACCCACGTCCCAAGACCTGCTCCTGCAGGTGCGTGCCGGGCCTCCAGGGGGCGGCTGGGCACGTGGTGGTGGTAGGGATTAAAGGGCCCAGGGGAGGCTGGGGACAGAGAGGGGGAGTCGGGATAGAGAGTGAGAGTGGGGGAGCTAGGAACAGAGAGTCAGAGGGGTGAAATCGGATTAGAGAGAGTGTCAGAGGGGCCAGGGTGAGGTAGAGAGTCAGAGGAGGGAGGCTAGGGTAGAGAATCAGAAGAAAGGCCAGAGGATGGAGGCTGGGCCACCAGTTCTGATTTCGGCTCCCTAGTGTGTGACCTTCTCCCTAGGTCCTCCTGCAGGAGCCCAATCCCGGCATTGAGTTCGAGTTCTGGCTCCCGAGGGAGCGCTATGGCCCCTTCCAGGAGCAGGCCCAGGCCCTGGGCTGGTCCCTGAGGCAGCCGCAGCCTCTGGAGGGGGAGCCCCAGTCCCTTGAGCCCCAGGAAGCCCTGGCTGCTTTCCCCACACGGACCCCAAAGCCCACCCCAGGTGAGCAGGGAATAGCCACTATGGGGGCGAGCAGGGAGGTGGGGCGTGTGCCCTAACTGCACTCTCTCGCAGATCCCTGCCCACCCTGTCCCGACACCCGCGGTCGTGCCCACCGGCTGCTCCACTATTGCGGCAGTGACTTCGGTGAGAGACCCTTTTCCCCAACCCTCACCTGGCCCCTAATTGACCTAAACTTGGCTACTTTCCTGCTGACATCTGACCCTGTTTTGACTTTACTCTTGAGTCCTTGATGTGACTCCAACTTGACCCCTTCTGGCCCTAATTTGACTTCTTGATTTGGCCCTTTGCTCTAATTTGACCTCTAAGTCCTCATTGATCCTGACCTGATCTTGACCCCAGGACCCTCTCCACAGTCCCTAGGGGCCCCCCATGTCCCACCTGACCCCAAGTTTCCTCCTATGGCAACGGGGTGCATGAATGGGTGTCCAGGTTGGACCATCCAATTGGCCTCAGCACCACCCTGCCCACAGTGTTCCGGGCTCGAGTGCTGGGCCACCTCCGCCAGGCCCAGGAGACCCGCTATGAGGTGCGTGTGCAGCTCGTCTACAAGAACCGCTCGCCACTGCAGTCCCTCGAGTATGTGTGGGCACCTGGCCGCTGCCCCTGCCCACCAATGGCCCTCCATCGAGAGTACCTGCTGGCTGCCCAGCGCCTGGTCAACCCCGATGGCACTCAGGACCGGCTGCTGCTGCCCCATGCTGGCTATGCCCGGCCCTGGAGCCCCGCCGAGGACAGCCGAGTCCGCCTGGCTGCCAGACACTGCCCTGTCTGAGCCCTCAGACAAGAAAGATGTGCCTGACCAGGCTCAAACTCAACCTATTTCCTCTCTTGCCTGGCTTCCAAGGAACTCAGAACTATCTCCCACCACAGCTATGTACCTCTCCCTCAGACACACTTATACACCTTTGCGTACAGTCAGTCAGATCCACTCTCACAGTAGGCAGGCGCTGATGAGAAAACACTGAATTGCTTCTTTAACTCTGATTTCTTCTCTCACCCTGACTGCCAGGAAACTCATAGCTTTCTTTTACTCAAAAACTTTGTGTCTACTTTTATTCCCCTTGCCTCACACTCACTTGCTTAGAGACACTCTCACACGCAAGCAGGGCCCATAGGAAGACATGCCTAAGGAGACATTGTAATGTATCCGTTTCCCCTCTTGCCCTGGCTACCAGGAAGCTCCTCACTATGTAACTCCCTGAAACTCTGCGCTCTCTCTTCTTGCTGCCATTTACCCATTCACCACAATGTATTCAGAGACATTGTCACAGACATACCCACTAGAACACATGCCTAACTAGGCACTGTTACATACTCATTTCCCCTTTTGTGCTGACTACCAGAAGGCTCAGAGATCATCTTTTCTCTTTCAATGTTGTATTGATTTCAGGTGTACAGCTTAGTGGTTAGACAATCATATACTTACATAGTGCTCCCTTTGATATTTCCAGTACCCAATTAGCATCATACATAGTTATCATAATATTATTGACTATATTCCCTATGGTTTACTTTACAGCCCCATGACTATTCAAAGATAATTTTGACAACCTCAGCAATTCTAGAAGGGGTTCCTCCAGTCCACACTGCTGTTCACCCCTTTTATATTTCTACTTAGTTTTTACAAGCAATTTTTTAAAAACAAGGGCACACTTGGCCACAGAAATGTGTGGATGCACTGGTAGTGGGATCCACAACTGTGCTCTCACAGCGTGTACACATGTGATCTCACAAACCCCATCCCCTCTACCTGGTCCATTCCCCACCTCCCCTCAGAATGTCTGACACTCTGTGGGAGGGGAGGACAGGGACTATATGAGGATGGGGGGTGAGTACGGGGTAAGCATGGCTTTTATAGGTCCCAAGCCTCTTCTCCAGGCCTGCTTGGGGGCCACACATTCATCTCAGACCTCCCCAGCAAAGGAAGCAGTCAGAGCCCCTCCCCTCAGGCTATCCTCATCTTCCTGTGTTGTCATAGATTCTCTTCATTTATTCTTCTGGAGCAAGAGGGCAGACGTCAGTCATGTGAGAAGTGAGGGTGTGTGGGGGGTGGCTCAGCAAACCCTCCCCCACTCTGGGTGGGGGCGCTGTCTTCTGCCTCCCCGTTCTGGATGGGGTGCCCCACACTGTCATTTTGGGACAATCTGCTCTTCTGTACCATCATGGTTGTGTTTTTCCTGGTAGCATGGATACTGGCAGTGGGCAAGGGGCACACAATATGCAGGTCTCAGAGCTGGATGGGCTCAGCCCCTGACTTTGCAGATGACCTGAGGGCAGACCACTCCCCTCTCCAGTACCCTTTCAGCCCTTCCTGGCTCTGATCATGGGAATCACACCCCTCTGGATTCCTTCCCTAGCCCCTCAGTTCACTCATGCATTCCTCCAACGGGTATTTATTGAGTGCCTACTGTATGCCAGGGGCCCAGCAGTGCTTAGACCATCCCAGGCCTGGCTCTGTCATCTGCAACGAGTGCTGAAGCTGGAGAAACCTCAGAGCCCCAACTTTCATGGGCAAAGTGGGATGCAGTTCTGGAGGGAGGTGTGGGGCCTGGGCGCCCACTGGTGGCAGGATGGGGGAAAGGTAGTCAAGGCACTGGTTACCTGCAGCCCTGCTTCTGTACCTCCTCCTCCACACCCACTTCTCTCATCTGCACTTGCCTTCCTCAGGAATGCCCCTCCTCACCCACCAGCCTTACACCAGCACCCACTTACGGCTCCATTCTTCCCACCACTGGCCTGAGGTTGTCCCCGCTGCCTCCATGCAGTATGGGGATATGTCTGGGAATAAGGGTCTCAGGCCTTCTCAGCCCCAGAGCTCCCAATCCCAAATCATCTGGACTGGCTCATGAGAGGCCCTTGCTCCTGGGAAGGGCCAGCACAGAGTCTCCTCCGGCAGGCAGGATGGCCTGTGACTTCCCCAGCCCTTCACAGCTCCTCCTGTAATGGTCTTGTAACACTCCCAGTAAACATGCCATTGTTTCGATCTGCTCTTTCGTTTTAAAGCAGTCTAACCATTTAAAGAGAGAAGAAAACCTTGCAATTCTAAAGTTGCTCAAATTCAACAGCGTGGTGGTTCAGGAAGGAACTACCATTTGTACTTGCCAAGCAACGTATTACGCTGTTTTGCATTGAAACACTAATAACTCCAGGTGGTTACATAGAATGACAGAAACAAAGTGAAGCGTTCTGTTTTTTTCCTCTTTACAGTCAGCCCTCGGCCCTTTTTCATTAGTTACTGTGTCCCTGCAGGGATACGCTAGCCCATCCGGGTTAGAGGCACACACATTGCCCGAAGTGACTGCAAATGGGTAGGAACCTCCTCTTGAAGGAAGCACAGGTGGCACATCCTTGCTTGTCCAGAACCGGGAATTCTCCAAATTGACTTCCCACCGATGGTGATGTTTATTAAAAGATGAATTAAAACAGGCATGTTTGAAACTTGCATCCATATTAGTAAAAATGACAGTAATTGTAATTATTTCATTAGCCCCACAAAAGGTGGTTTTCGATATTTCTGAACGTCAGCTCTGGGGGGTCTGTCATGTTTTTCCTTTCTAATTCTCTGCAGAGGGCACCACTCTGTCATCTGCCCTTCTCTCACTGACCCTGTACCAGACGGCTGACACATGGGAGGACACATGTCCACTTAAAGAGCCACAGAAAGCCCTGGACTGTCTGAGAGCTCACAGGTTTAGATGTGGACATACAGGTGAGGTTGGCAGAACCACTTTGGAAAACAGTTTGGCCGTGTCTGCTATAGATGAACAAAAATCACAGTAGCAAGTTAGATATGTCCAAGTCCCAACCCCCAGAATCTGTGAATGGGATCTTATTTGGAAAAAGGATCTTGGCAGATATAATTAAGGGTCTCAAGATAAGATCATTCCGGATGACCTGGGTGGGCACTAAATCCAATGACAAGTATCCTCATAAGAGACATGCAAAGGAGAGACAGAGAAGAGGGCCATGTGACAATGGAGGCAGAGACTGGGGCGATGAGGCCACAAGCCCAGAAGCTGGAACAGGCAGGAAGGACCCTCCCTGGAATCACAGGAGGGAGCGTGGCCCTGTCACACTGACTTCTGGCCTCCATAATGTGAGAGACTAAATCTTTGTTGTTTCAAGGCCCCCCCCTCCCAGCCCCCAGTGTGTGGTAATTTGTTATGGTCACCCCAGAAGACTCACAGGCTCACCCTATACTCTCCAATCTCTGAGAAAGGAGAGCTGCACTCACCAAAGGTCAGTTCTAGAATGTTCCTAGCAGCTTTAGTCATAATAACCCAAAATGGGAAACTACTCAAATGCCCATCAACAGTGGAATGGGGCAAATAATTCTGGCCTACCCACAGAATGAAATGCTCTCCACCAATGAAAAAGAGCAAAGTACTGATAATACCCACAGTGGTGTGAGTCTCAGACACAGCTCTGAGTCAGATAGGAAAGGACAGAGATACCGTTGCGGGTGGGGAGTGACTGGGAGGGGGTGGCCCTGTTGCCTTAGTAGCTCTGAGTCACTGGTTACACTTTTCTGTAGGTTTAAGAATAAAACAAACAATGTGCTCAGCTGGCGTGGCTCAGTGGTTGAGCACCGACCTATGAACCAGGAGGTCACAGGTTGGATTCCCGGTCAGGGCACATGCCCGGGTTACAGGCTCGATCCCCAATAGGGGGCAAGCAGGAGGCAGCCAATTCATGGTTCTCTCTTATCATGGATATTTCTCTCTCTCTCTCTCTCTCTCTCTCTCTCTCTCTCTCTTTCTCTCTCTCTCTCTCTCTCCCTTCTTCTCTGAAATCAATAAAAATATATTTTAAAAAACAATAAAAAATATAAAATAAAACAAGTCTGAGGGGCTAAAGGTCACTGTTTCCACCTGGGGAGACAGGTGTGTGTCCTCCCTATCTGTACTGCCTGGTGAGCTGACCAGGGCAGGGGGACAGGGACAGCCTCTGAGCACCTGTTTCACCACCTAGGGCAGTGATGGCAAACCTTTTGAGCTCGGCGTGTCAGCATTTTGAAAAACCCTAACTTAACTCTGGTGCCGAGTCACATATAGAAATTTTTTGATGTTTGCAACCATAGTAAAACAAAGATTTATATTTTTGATGTTTATTTTATATATTTAAATGCCATTTAACAAAGAAAAATCAACCAAAAAAATGAGTTCGAGTGTCACCTCTGACACGCGTGTCATAGGTTCGCCATCACTGACCTAGGGACAGCAGGGTCGGGGGGATGCCAGGTGCAGAGTGAGCCCAGCACTGCCCCACCCCCAGACCACAGCCACAGCACATTCTTCAAACAACTGGGCCAGTGATAAGCAGATTCTGAGATCCCTGTCCCCAACACCCACGTAGGCCTCTTAGCAGACCTTTGATCAGTCCCTTCCTCCCTCTTGACAAATCTTACATCCCCAGCAAAAGCCAAAGTCCTTACCACACCTTCCAGATATCTGCACGGTCCACCCCCTGGCTCACCTCCTCTCTCCCCCTCATTCACTCAGCTCCAGCCACACAGGTCTCCCTGTTCCTCCTACACTCTGCCAGGCTCTGCCTTTGTAGAGGCTCTTCTCTCTGCGTGGACCACCCCTGTCCGATTCTCACCAGATTCATGCCCTCACCTTCTTCATGTCTTTATTTGAATGTCATTTTCATAGACAGGTCTTTCTCTGACCCTGACATTGCAGCCCTGGCCCCCTCAACTTCGGCTGCATTTTCCCCATGTCATTCACCTCGCTCTGACATGTTTTTTTAAAATTAAATATATATATTTTTTTTTATTGATTTAAGGGTGAGGGAGAGAGAGAGAAACATCATCATTGTGAGAGAGAAACATAGATCAGTTGTCTCCCATATGTGCCCTGAACTGGGGATCGAACCCGAAATCTGGGTATGTGCCCTGATCAGGAGTTGAACCCACGACCCTTAGATGCACAGGATGATGCTCCAACCAACTGAGCCACAGGGCTCCCTCTGACATGTTATGCATGTATCATGCCAATTGTTGCCTTCCCAAACTACCAGGAGTGGGAAATTTTTAACTCTCTGGGTCAATACTGTAACCCTGGCTCCTAGAGGAGGGGTTGGAATACAACAAGCGCTCAATATCCACGTAACACTCAGCACTTCCTCCTTTGTTAGAATTCTCAAGGATGAGGACAGGGGCAGTGGTGTTGGTGGCTGCAGAGGGCTGCCTCCTTTTTGGGGAAAGCTGTCTTCGAGTCACCACCAGCTGGGAACTGCAAGGCTGGCTAAGGAGCGAGGGGCATGGCATGTCACAGGATTGCAAGACTTGGCTGATGTGTTTGGGCAAAAACTGGGTGTCTCGGTCAGGGACCGTAGGGTCTTCGCCTTCCGACGCCGCGCGCACCCACCCCAGAGCAGGAGGTTGCGGGGTGGGGCAGGAGGTGGTGGGATCTGTGGGAGATGGTTGGCCAGGGGCCCTGAGACTCATGAGGACCTGAGGCCGTGCGTAAGGCTGGACTGAAGTTGAGCAGAGTCGGCCAAGCGGCCAAGCGTAGGCCTGGGAGTCGCTTTCATCCCCGGTCGGAGGGTGGTGGGGCCTGTTGGGCGGGTCCGAGGGGAACTCGACCAGGGCTGCCTTTTCTGTTAAGCCTTCCTAGAGCTATTAATTAGTTTAGCAAATGTTTATTGACCTGCTACTATGTTCCAGGCGGAACACAGCACAGGACAGACAGAAATCTCAGCCGCTGTGGCGCTCACAGTCTAACGGGGCAGGCAGGCGAGAGGCAAGAGAAATAGGTAAAACACGTCATGTTGAGATGGAGACATGGCGGGTCATGTAGATTTTATATAGAGGGACCAGGGAAGACCTCCCTGCAAAGAAGGCATTTGAGTCAAAACTTGAAAACAGTGAGGGAGAGTGTGAAGGCGCAGACCCAGGCACCTCTGTTCTGGAAGGATCTCCGGGGCCCTCCTTTAGTCCCTCAGTTGAGCCAGGTGCCCCAAGGTCAGGCTCCACAGCCTGATTGTCCCTGCCCTTGCCTTTCAGGCCTGCCCTTCCTCATTTTTCAGGGGTCAGCTCACTCACCACCTCAGGCATCTCTCCTTTTTTGTCACTGCTTCCTTTTCTCTCCATATTTCTTGGGTACCCTCTTTCCATTTTCTGTCTCCTTGCCTGTCCTCAATTTAAATGGCAAAGATTTCCTTTTACTCACTAGTGAATACCCGGCGTTTACTGTGGTGCCCTCCTCTGCCACATACTAAATACTACTTTTTTTCTTAATTGAAAGAATAGAGACTAACTGCCAAAAAAAAGAAAAGAAACTGGGTGTCTCCAGACATTGCCCAGCACCTTTGAGAAAAAACTGCCCCCAGTTGAGAACCACTGAGTTACAGCCTCAGAAGCACCTGCAGTGTCAGGGTTTGCGGTTCATCCTGCTAACCCTTCTCTTGTGTTTGCATCAGAAGCTGTGGCCCCCTAGGACCATGGGGAAGCAGAACTTGGGTGGCAGGAGCTGAATGGTGAGATGGGTGGCCTGATGGATTCTGTGGGGCCCAGGTCCTCCCCAGCTGTGAAAGCAGATGCCTTTGTGTTACAGCCCCTTCCTCAGGGGACAAAACCAGGCCCCCAGGCTCCAGGTGGAGCTCGTTGCAGGTGCAGTTCAGGCTTCAGGCACCCCTGCTTCCACTGAGACCGCCGCCTGGTCCAGCTCCACTCCCACCCCCACCCCGTCCCCCAGCTTCCAGTTCAGGGTCTGCCTCCAGGGATCTATAGCTGTACAGGGGGGCATTCTATATTTTATATACTGTTGGATTGGATTTGCTATTCTTTCTTTGGGCTTTTTGCATCTGCATCCATTCCTGATTTCATGAACGGGGTCATGCCAGCCTCACAAAGGAAACCCAAGTGAAGGCTGAAGGAGGCCCCGTTAGTGTTCACCCAACTCCCCTCTCTCCATTTCCATGAATGCCAGTCTGTCAACTGCCAGCCCCAAGGCCTCTCTGCTGCCTGCAGAGGGAGCTGGCTGAAACGAATGGCCACTGCTCCCCCAGTGGATAGTCCCTGGATCCCTCAGCACCTGAATAGAGGGTCTCAGGTGTGCACTGGACACAGGTTCCAGGCTTGGCCACACCTACTTCTTTGGCTCCTTCCCCTACCCACTCCCTACTGAAGCTTCCTGAGGTCCCCTTCCAGAAAAGGGACTTGTACTCCAATTCTCATCTCTGATTCATCTCAGCCACTTGGCAAGACCATAATTCTGGGCCTCAGTTTCTTATCTTTAAAGTGGGGCTACACAGCAACCTCTCCTGATTAGATGGGAGGATCCCTGCAAAGAACACCTGGTTCCCCCCACATACACACACACCCAGGACAGATGGCAAAAGAAGGCTCTGCAAGATGTATTTTATTGAGCCCTGTCCTAACAGGATAGGTGTTTCAGGCGCCAGCAGTGCTGTAGGTATT